CGAAGATGAATACCACATAACTGAAATTCCCGAAAAACACGACGAATTCTCCCGCATTCTAAGCAGTAAGTATATTTTTGACACTTATATTTAAATTTTTTTTTTATCTTTCTCATACTTATTTACTTATTATCCATCGTTTTTTTTGTAAACTGCAAATTTCATTACACTGATTTTTGTAACTTAAAATAATTTTTCCCTGACGAAAAATTTTTCTCCTCTCGTCCTTTTTTTTACACAATTCCCTTGGCTTTAAAAAACATTACTTTAATTTGGTAGATCTGGGAGGAATTGAACCTCCAACCTTCCGGTTATGAGCCGGGTGCTCTAACCAGTTGAGCTACAGATCCTTTGGTGGATCTGATCGGAATTGAACCGATGACCTCCTGTGTGCAAAACAGACGCTCTACCGACTAAGCTACAGACCCTAACTTTAAACTATTATACATTTTGAAAGAAGACTCCTATCAAATGGTCGGAAAGGCAGGAATCGAACCTGCACCTCATGGTCCCAAACCATGGGTTCTACCACTAAACTACCTTCCGGCTTCTTTTAAACCTTTATTAGAAAAACTAATTTTTGTTGATTGCCAATGATTTTTTTACAATTACTTTTTAACTCAAATTCTTAAAAAAAATTTGTATCGCTAGGCAAATGAAAGAAAATTTTCCTAGATAAACCTAAATAAAAATAATAATAACAATGTTATCTACTAAAAAAAGAGTTAAAAAGGAAACCATTATTTCTGATATTCAAAATAACTTTCAAAATTCCCAAGCCGTTATTTTTTACAACTTTCATCAAGTAGAAAATGAGGAGATTTTTTGACTTAAAAAAGAGTTAAAAAGAGTAGGAGGCTATTGAAAAATTTATAAAAACAACTTGGTGAAAAAGGCCTTACCAACGCTTTCTTTGCCATTAAAGCAAGCCAATGCCTTAATTTTTTGTCAAGAAGATGAGTATAAGCCTCTTAATATTTTAGCCCAATTTAACAAAGAATATCCTAATATCAAAAGATTCCAAGGGGGAATTTACAATCAAAGTTTGGTTGACAATACTCTTTTAGAAAGATGAGCCATTTTGCCAAGTAAAGAAGTGTTAATAAACTCTTTATGTTATTATCTTAATTGACAAGTTCGTCGTTTAGTCAATATTTTGGGAAAAATTAGGTTAAAAGTCGTGCAATAATAAACATTTTTTCGTTCTAGACTACATACTGGTTTAGTAATGACATACAATCTTATATCTGCTATTTATGCTGCTATTTATATATAAAAAAATACATTTTAAGAAATTTAAATGTCAATAGTCATGGAGAGAAAGAGAAATTTAATACGTTACTTTTAAATTTTCTCCACCGCCTTTTTTTCCTTTTCGTATTGATGGTTAACTATCAATCATCTAATTAAGTGTGAAAACCAAGAGGCAAAAAGGGTCCTGCCTAATAATAAAAATAAAAACGGCACGAGAGCCCCGATGATTAGAGCCAAGAATTCCCGGCATTGGTTTTCGTCCTCAATAAATCATTTTAGCATCTCAAACATCTTTCTAGTTATCTCCTGGTTAGCAAAAACAGATTTAAAAATAAAACCGGACAAAAATAATTTTCAAATAATTTGCCCGATAAAACTATATCAAAACCAGTGTTGATGATGGTTGCGACGATTTTTCTTTTCCTCCGCAGTAACAAGAGGATTTTTTTTTCCGCGAATAATAATCGCAACTAAAAATTGCCACCAATACCACTAACCATCAAACCCATGACCACGGATTTAACTTTTTTTGTTCTTCTACTATTTTGGCCGAAAGAGAGAAAATTATTAAGAACTGTCCAATATTGTCTCGACCCTCAGTAGCATTAACAATTTCTTTCCAATTAGGTGGCATATTGCAATTTGCTAAATCTTGCGCCGTCAAATTTTTTTCGGTTATAATCTTCTCAATATCAGCAATAATCTCCGCCCGGAATTCATCAATATCGTTAATATCGTGACCCATCCCTCCACTATCGTAATCTCTTTTCTTTTCTTCGTCCGATAAAACACCGTAAGCCCGACTAATTTCCTTAAATCGATTCTCGCTAGCCAGCCAAAAATCGCGACAACTTTGGGAGCAATAGTTTTTTTCTTCCTCATTTGTTCTGCTGTAACCGCATTTTGTCTTCACCTTCCATACTACACTCCCGTAACACTTTCCTTCCTCTACGGATTTATTGCCTATTCGGTCCGGATGATATTCCCGACTTAAATCGCGATGAGCCTTTTTAATTTCGTTCTCGGAAGCAGTTGGTTCTACTCCCAAAATTTCATAATAATTCTCTCTCTCTCTCTCTCTCTCTTGTTGTTGTTGTGGTAGTGGGGTGGTATAAGGCATAATTTTATCTCAAATATATTGTATTGTAATCTATTTTACTGAATTTTAACTCTCGTTTCGTATTTTAAATTTATAAAAGCAAAGAAATTGTATTAAGAGAAAGTTCGTAATTTCCTATCACTCCTCTTTTTATTAGTAACTTTAATGCTTATTACCATACCAAATATGCTTATTTAAGGAAAATAAAAATTGGGATTAAATAATCTTAACAGATGTCTTATCTTTTTCGGTCGGAAATTGCCATTGAAAATCATCCAGAATTAAGTAAGGTCGAGATTACTTTGTCTGCTCCTCTCGGTTTGGAAATTATTACTCCTTCTTTGCTTTCGGCCGAAGCGGCTGGCCAATTATTATACTCCCTTTATCACAAACTAAATTATCTTTTTGCTTACCTTGATTACCAAATAAAAATTACCGAAGAAAGCCCGCAAATTGACAAAAATACCATTCAGGAGTATTTTTCCCTAATTTGAGCGACACCTTTCTTTTGAAAAAACAAAAATGATTTACTATTTTTTTGTCAACAAGAAAAATCACTGACCGAGTTCGTTTACCAAAAAGAAGATAATACTGTTTGTTGAACTTTTTTCAAAAAAGATGAGTTGGAGATTTGGCAACCCAAAATTGTTGCTCTCAAAGAAATACTAAATAAGTTAGGCTTGACTAATATTCATTTTTCTTTACGGAAAAAGAACGGGAATAATCACTCAACACTCCCACCAAAGTTGCCAACTGAAAAAGCCACAAAAAATAACTTGGTCCAGTCCTCAATAATGAATAATCAACCCTTTTCCCTCCCGCCCGAATGAAAAGAAAGAAAAATCTTTGAGCTAGGCATTCATACTAAATTTAGCACGCTCGATGGGATAAGTAATGCTGCCGATTACGTCAAAAGTGCCCGAGCCAAAAATTACGCGGCTTTGGCGATAACCGACCATTATAACGTGCAAATTTTTCCCGAATTTAGCCAAGAACAAACCGAGGATTTGCGAATTATTTACGGCTGCGAATTAGAAATGTTGGAAGATGACTTACCACCTTACATTTTTAATCACAATTCTGCTACTAATCAGAAACTTTTGACAGTGCCAATAACCGCTTTGACTTATTGTATTTTTGACTTAGAAACCACTGGATTTTTTGCGGCTTATAACGAAATTATTGAAATAGGATACGTAATCTATCAAAACGGGAAAATTATTC